CGAAGGCCTACGTAGCTGATTTACCAAATATGGTGAGACCCGCGAAACTTGTTGCCCGATGTGGTACGAAGTCCTTCGGCAGAGTAATTTCGGCTTTTTCGTCCAATTTTCGGTAAAATTCGGTGAAAAACAGAGTTTTCGGATTTCCCAGCATTCAGTGCTACCCAGGAAATTTGTAAAGCATGAAGAAGGGCCCATGAAGAAGGGGTCGATTTTCAAGTTCTTTTCACGGGCCCAGCCGGCATCAGAGGCTGGTGCAGCCGGTGGCGGTGGACCAGAGGCTGGTGCAGCCGGGGGCGGTGGATCGGGAGATGCCATCGGGTCCACCGTCTCCGAGGATCCCGCGGCCGATGTTGATGACGCGCCCCCAGAGGAGGGGGAGGGGAGCGCCAAGAAGCAAAAATTAACCGGACGTTATTTTTTTCTAAGCAGTATTTTTTTTCCTTATATCGTGCACGATATTCAAGGTAAACAAATATGCAAAATAAATGTGCTCGCATACTGTTGGTAAATTTTTTTTATGACGAGTAAGAGGGCCGGGGGTCACTAGCGGCGTCCTTTGAAGCTAATGCCGACAAATTTTTTTTGTGGTCTTTTTTTTTATAAACACAGATGATACTTGCATTGTTCATGTTTTGTTTGGTCCCTTCTTTTTAATGTATACTAAAACTTCTATATGCAGTGGCAGGCTAAGAAGGTTGATACACAGTAAAACAGTTCCAAACCTAAAGATGCAAGGCTAAATATAATTTTGCACATAAATTTTTCAAATTGCACCTAAAAATTTTGCCAATGTGCAATTTTGCACGTACCTGAAAAAAAGTATTTCGAACCCTGTTTGCCTTCACTTTATTTGCGTATCAATCAATACATGTAGTTTGTGCTTATGAACCTGCATTTCTCCTCTGGTCTCTCAGTTACTGACGAAAGCTAGTGGATACTAGCTGAAACGTCAGTGGATTTCTAGACAAACCCAAAGTCTAAAAAAAAAAGGAAAAAAGAAAATCCCTACCTAATATTTTCCAGACTGAAACAGGAAACACAACATTTTTTTCCAGGCCTAGTTACCTTGAAGATGATTCCAGCAATTGTAGTTCCAGTCTTTCTGGCTGTGGGCATCTTGATACCCTTAGTTTCCAGGTAGGCATTTCTACATGGGAGAAAAAAAGATCAAAAGTTCAATCAATACAAAATGTTGCTGTGTATATGTATTATACAGTTCAGTGTTCTCACCAGAATTATTTCACAGTGTAGGGGTCAGGTACAGAGGGACAACTTTCTGTGCCACAAACTGTGCATTGAGTTCCAAATGATCAATCATGTATGTAGGGGGTCTGGCGTGCCCCCCCCCCTCCGATTTTTTTACAAAGTAATGATGCAATGTAACCCCCTGAGAAACAATTTCCTGCTTATTGAGGGTAAAATATTGTTATTAAGTTATGTACTTGTCTTTCTGCTGTTATACCTTATCATACTAAATTTTTATTATTTAGACGGTTTTCCCACCAAATAAACACCCATACGATGGTTCCGAAGTTGTGACAATATTTATAATATTTATTATAATATCAAACAGTCTAGTGAACTTTAAATCACTTAATATTTGCAGTGAAAAAATTTCGTGGTCTGAGAAAAATGGACGTGTTCAGAGTGGTGACAGGTGCACAGAAAACAACATCGGCGTATCATTTTTTTGCAGAAATGATAAATTTGGGGTACAGTGAGTGAGTGAGAAGTGATCACAAAAAACATGAATAAAAGTACTACAAAAAAATCGTGATTTACAGTATGCAAATTTATTCAAGATAAAAATATGTCATTCTAGCTAAAATGAATCCCTAAACTAGAAAATTATGACGTCATGCTGTAATCTGATGACACAAGTCAGTTCAGTATATTTTAATATTTTATATTATAATTCTGACTTAGTTAGAATTTGGCCCCAGTTCCCAGTGACTCTGATATGTCTGCACAAAAGATAATTCTGTCTGACAAGCACAGTGATTGTTAAGGATTTTGCCTGAACATGATTTTACGTTACAAAGATGTCTCATGTACTAGTACTTGGAACACTGACATACACATACATTGTACAACTTATGTTATATCATATACGTTTTTATCATAACTGAATAAAGTCCCTGCTGTTGAAAATAGGTTTGACAACAAGGACAAAATAATGCCCAAACAATTTACACTGCGATAATGAAATCATCACCCTCTATGCCCTTAAACGTAAGGCGTTAAGACTGAGCAAAAATTTGTGCATGTAACGTTATGGGGGAGGGGGGCACATGACAAAAGTGCTTGCTCATGTGTCGATGAAAGAGCGCACTTTTGGCTGTCAACTAGACGATTTCCTTTGAAGATGGCGGCTATTTGATCTTAGCAGCATGAATCTTAGACTCGTCAGCAACATCTGGCCAGGTTGAAACGTGTTCTTACCTCTTGCAGTTCTCGAAACTGAAGCCGCCAAGAGAAGGTTCGGCGTACGCAGAGTTTACGGTCGCCATGTTGGGACTTTTGTGGAGAAGATGGAATAGTCCATTCATACAATAGGGAGAAAGCATTCAACAACCTGTAGATTGACAAGATTTTCTCCTAATACATATCTTTAAAAAACATACCAATTCAATATTTACATTCAAATACTTTAGATATAACATTTTGATATAATGCATTGATTTCACTGAACGCCTGTATATCGGTTTAGGAATTTTTATGATAAAAGTGTTCCCATGTAAGTAATAGAATGATCTGACTGAAGGATTGTGGGGAGAGTATTTTGTATTTTGACAATGGCGGAAGCGCGGGTTGAAAATGGAGCATGTGCGGCAGAACCCAAAGTTTCTGCTCAACAAACGTCTGATCCAAGCGGTTCTACACAGACTACGGGCGCCAAACCCACCTGTATCCTGGTGCTGGGCATGGCAGGGTCCGGGAAGACCACGTTCGTGCAGAGACTGAACGCGCACATGCACGCACAGAAAAGCCCGCCCTATGTCATCAACTTGGACCCTGCCGTGTATGAGGTAAATTACTTTCGCCAAGAAGGTTATGTTTTCCTAGCCTCTACCAGGCTTCGGGAGGCGGCTGGAAAGACTAGAAACTGGCCAAATACTTCCGAAGCCTGGTACTGTGGTAGAACAAGTAAGGTGCTAATTTTGCTGATCTGGAAGTGAATAAAAAGTTTCACTTTCTTAAGTAGAAAATTAGAAAACCTAGCCTCTTACTTATTTTATACAAGTTGACTGACGGCAAGTATACACATGATCTGTTATATATGTGTACACCAACACCAATATATTTGTACATATTGTAATATTAGTAATTAAATATTTTCTTATTTATAATGTAACATTTTCATATTTGTAATGCAATGTTTTCATATTCACAATGTCATATATTCATAATTTGACATTTTTTTCCATGTTCATGTTGATAATATAATATTTCATATTCATGATTCAATATTTCACGTTAAATATGTATTCAACCATTAATTTCAGATTCCGTATCCAGCCAACATAGATATCCGAGACACCGTGAAGTATAAAGAAGTGATGAAACAGTACGGCCTGGGTCCTAATGGTGGGATCATCACGTCACTCAACCTGTTCGCTACACGCTTCGACCAAGTCATGAAATACGTGGAGAAGAGAGCAAACCAGTACAAACATGTCATCCTGGACACCCCAGGCCAGATCGAAGTAAGTTACGTCTAACGTAGCCCGATTAAATCGCTTTTGCCGGCCGCCCAACATCCAGCCGGCCCCCGGGGAGGGGCCAGTAAAGCCGCGGACGGCAGAGTTTGCATTATACAGACTACATGTAACGTTACTTATTAAGTAATATCACTTGGTAAATTTGATGCCCTTAAGTTTTTAATGACCATATATGACATCAAGAAAAGGCTGAATAATACACAATAAATATCAAAAGTTTACATACAATATAGTCCCTTGAAGTTGGTTCTAAAAAAAATCATGATGATTGAAAAATTGAGTTTGGACGGCCTCCCAAAAGTGCATTTTATTTGATTTTGAATGCTGCGGCAAGCTTACCAATTGCCCATTTCGGGAATCTCTTTTTGGATCAAAGGGTGATGTCAGCTTAGAAAAAAAGACAGAAATACAAAAATAAAACTCTATATGATAGAGAGGCAAAAAGTCTGCCGGGACTGGCTTGTGCTGACTTGCCCAAAGTGGGCAATTGACCTAAATTCGAATGTAATGATAGGAGAACCGTGCAGATTTATTTCAAGTGACCAGTGATGGAAGTCAGGTATACTCTATTTCTTTTTACACAACCGGTAAATCCTCACCTTGCTGACGTTTCGGTGTCTGTCAGACACCTTCTACAGAGCTTCTGACTGGAGTACTGCATCTCGCCGCTATATGTAGCCGATGTAGGTGGTGCTTTTGTGGCGAGAACACAATCCCAAACGTGGCTCAGTTTGTCAGCAAGGTTTAAGGATTTACTGGTTGTGTGAAAATGAATACCTGACTCCTAAGTTCTACCATTACCTGATGAAATTATTTTCGGAAGTGACCAGTGATGCCTTCTATCTATCTGCGCAGGTGTTCACCTGGTCTGCGTCTGGTTCCATCATCACGGAGTCTCTGGCGTCGGGGTTCCCCACGGTGGTGGTGTATGTGATGGACATCGCTCGCAGCGTCAGCCCCGTCACCTTCATGTCCAACATGCTGTACGCCTGCAGTATCCTCTACAAGACCAAACTCCCCTTTATCGTAGTCATGAACAAAATCGACATCGTGAACCACTCCTTCGCCGTCGAGTGGCTCACGGACTTCGAGGCGTTCCAGGATGCGCTGGCGCAGGAGGAGTCATACGCCAGTAACCTGACGCGGTCGCTGAGCCTGGTGTTGGACGAGTTTTACGCTAACTTGAGAACGGTGGGGGTGTCGTCAGTGACGGGACAGGGGATGACAGAGTTCCTACAGGCGGTGGAGAGTGCAGCTCAGGAGTACCAGACTCAGTACAGACCTGAGTATGAGAGGTGCGGAAGACTAACTTTTCTTTTTCCATCAGGCCACACTGAGTTAATTTTATGGATGACATCGTGCGCATTGATTTTTGCCTGTTCTCAACAAAAAATTTCAGCGCCGAGGCTCTGGCCTGGGTGCAATTCTCTGTAGTCAATGTACCGGTAGCTTGTAGTAGTGACAACAGGAAGTAACTACGGAGGACGGCACCCAGGCTTCCAATGCTCCATCGGCCTGTCATGTCCAACTCAGTACAGTTCCGACTTATAAATGCTGCAAAAGACCATGCCAGCATGTGCCAGCTTCTCGCAAAAGTGCAATGTACTATTGCAAAAAAAGTGCAATGAACTCTTGCAAATTCACAAATAAATTGTACACGTACGAGCTTTTTATTCCTATGGTTTAGCAGCATTTTGGTAGGCTGGAATTTTTTTCTTGTTTGCCACATGCAAGTTAGTTTGAGAGTCTTTAGGCCTAGGGGATGTTAGCCATAAATTGTGGCCTTAGTGAGCCAAGTTTTCAAAATTTGCCCCTAAGATTGTCTTACCTTCTGCCCTCGACATAATGATAATGTAACATCAGCATAATTGAGATGACAGAAAAAAATACAGTCTGGCTAGAACACTGTGCGTTATTTTCTGTTGGAAAGAGCCATGAAAGTTGTCTGTTGTTGTCTCAGGTTGAAGCAGGAGAAGGCATCAGCTGAGCAGCAGGAGAAACAGAAACAGCTGGACAGACTGAGGAGGGACATGGGGGAGGGGCAGGCTGTTCCCATGGAAACAGCCACGCCCGTTAGACCTGATGCCACGCCCAGCCACTCCAAGGCTCCTGAGGTCATGTTGACAAAAGGTGAGATTACAAAGCAGGGCTCCAAATTAATTTTGGGAATAATTTTCCCAAAAAAAAGTTTTCCACCATACTGAAAATCAAACAAAAGAGCTGCAAAATGAACAAAATTTTATTAAAATATGTCATAAATTGCAAAATAGTTAGTATTGGAAAATGATACTAATGTTGTAGAATGCCATCGTAAATTCCAAAGACAAATAAGAAAGTGTGAAGAAATAAATATGAAGATTCTATTATTCCCCCACACCATACCCTGTGTGTTTAGTCATTTGTTCAACATTTAGTACCACATAGATTTCATACAGACAACAACTTATTATTGGACCAAGCGTCTTTTATTTGCACATTCACATCAGTTTTGGGGTTCTGAGAGGATGCCATCCATATATCATTCAAATCAACATGGCCTAACAGAATACTGTACATGTAAATCATTTCATATTTATATTAAAAGATGAGAAATTGACATGTTGCGGAACAGTTATGTTCACGCTTGCAGCAGGTGCGGACGAAAAAAATGGCGAATTATTTGTTTGCGGTAAGGCCACACCAATTTAATTTCTTTAATTTCTTGGTTAACGGATTGTTCTAGAAAAATAATAGAGCGGGCGGGCAAAAAAAAAATAAATAAAAACAGGTCTAGGCATCCTATTATGGCCCAAAATGGTACGATAGGAGCCATGAAGTCAACACACCAGGCTGGTTCAAAATTTAAACAATGAATTTGAACTTCTAATGATACCATTCATTTGCATTAAAAGATGGAATAACTGTAACAACTAGGATGAAAAGGACTGTTTTCAACTGTTCGGGGCAAAATATGAGTATTTTGCAGTTGATTCTGGATTTTATTTTATTTTTTTTTTGCAAATCAGAAAAAAATTAAGCCGGAAAATCCGTTAACCAAGAAATTAAATTGGTGTGGCCTATGATAAATTTGTGGTAAACTGCAAATGCCACAAATACAACAGTACCGTGAATATAAAGTGATTTACACTACAGAAGAGGGCTATGAATGATTGACAGCTGTCCATCTGTTTTGACAGATCCTGATGAGGATGATGACCTTGACAGTGATGACCTTGATGATGAGATGACAGAGAGGAGAGAAGAAGCTGCCTTCAAGGCCTTCCTGGAGAGTCAGAGGGCTCATCCACAGAACAAATCAGACAAGTCATGAACATTAAAACTTCCAGTTGGTTTATAACTGTTTACATGTTTTTAGCATCTGTTGTCTTGTTTTTATTATGTTTACCGAAGGAAAACATATTGTTTTTGCTCCATTTCCATTTCTTCTCCAAACACTAACCTCTGACCTGGTCAATGGCCTCTTTTGTTTACGTCTGTCACCATAGTAACTGGTGTCGGGTTACACAATGTGACACACACACACAATGTGGCAATTTCATTGTAGGCATTTAGACTCCTGTCACCATATACATGTATGTGAATGTGTTTGAGTAAGAATTAACAGAGCAGACCATATCCGAAGGTAAACATTATGCATTTGCTTTGCAAATGTTACTTTTCTAGTTTTTATTGTCTTTATTTTGATACCCTTCAGTCAAAATTGGCTAGTCTTCCAGGGTTCATACAAAAATGATATACACATGTAATTCATGAAATTGAGGATCCTATTTGCACAATCAGGGAATAATCTACAAATTGTCAGTCATAAAGACTAACATCATTTGGCGAAGGTATGAGGTCGGGTTATCATAACAAATATAAAAATAAGAACAAAATATGAGTATCGTCATACATTGTGAAGTTGTGATATCGATGCACTGAATATACAGCCATTGTCACATTTCTCTTGTTCTGAGATGAAAAAGCCCTATGCTTTTTATCCACTTACATAGTTTTGCCAAAAAACAGTTACTCAAGCAACTGGATATGATTTTGAAAACGTCAGACGTTTCAGCTAGTATCCACTAGCTTTCGTCAGTGACTGAGAGACCAGAGGGGAAAGCAGGCTTATATACACAACCTGTTGATTGATATGCAAATAAAGTGAAGACAAATTTTTGGAAGTCGAAAAAGGAACAAAAGTCAGACAAGTCAAGACAAGATGATGCAAATTAGTCTGAAAGCTCCTGTTATACAGGACAGGAGCTTAAGTGTTGTCTGTCCTCGGGGCTGGGAGTGCCAAATCCCAAGTGCCGGAAAGATCGACCCGTAGCCCCCCTAGCTGAAACGTCTGACGTTTTCAAAATCATATCCAGTTGCTTGAGTAACTGTTTTTTGGCATATCGTATTACCTGGATGTCTAACCTTCATCGACGTACATAGTTTTGAATCAACCTGTAATTTTAGAGTTAAAAGGCAGGTTGAAAAACAAAGATATATGTGCAATGTTGATTGAGCACCGTTCCTTTAAAATGTTACAGAATCTGACAACGGAAACAACTTTTCTTCTTCATCTTGTTGTTGTGCTTGCCATTTGAGTTCGCACTGTGATCTTTTCTGGGAGGTCCTGCACCCCCCTCCACTGGAAGTGGGCACGTCCCGGGAAGCAGGATGTCATCCACAATGACGTAGCCAAGTTTGGTGGTCAGGACGACATTGTCGCGATTCGCCACGATATTGGTGATTGTAGCGTACACGTACTGGGCAGTCAACATGTTTCCTGTAACAATATGAAAGGAAAGTCTTTATGCAAGACTGATATAGATAATATCTTTACAAAGTCAGGCATTATTTCCCTTGGTTATGAAAAACTATAAGTAATCATGAAAGCTACAATGTTAATGTCTTTAAAATCTTAATTGTGTTTTGATGACAGCTATCTACCAAAATCAGAGTTATCAACCAAAGAATTGAGGTATTCAAAAACTCATATTTCCCCAGAACTATCGTAGACTGGAACTCGTTGCCACCTAGCACAGTTGGGGCATCATCACTAGAAAGCTTTAAACAACTCCTGCAATTAAATGTGAAAAGATTGAGTGTAACAAGTCGTCCGGTGTGATATAGCTAGCTGCCGCCGCGCCGCGTGCCTGCGAAGCTGGTGTGTTACGCCGAAGGGAGATTATACCGGCTATACCGAAACAGATACAGAAAATGGTTTCAAGAAAGATATTGACTGCCGAGGACGTGTACGCAACAATCATTAAAACTGTTTATTTTTTTATTTTGAACTACATTGCCATAGCATAAAAACGAGATATTAAAAATAGGCAGTTGAATAGTAGAATCAAAGCATGCGACTGTTTTTCATTGTACATGAACATGAACACTGGAAAATGAAGATGTGCTGAACTCTAAAAGAATCCAAACTGACTGCATAAGTTGAAAGATTAAAATAAGTTTTAACCTATCATGAAAGTTCATCTGTGTTGGTAGTTCCATGTTTAAAGTTAAAACTTTTGTTCCAACACGAAAAATTCTCTCACCTAGAGCTTTCGACCAGTCACTCTGGTCTTCCTCAGTAGACTGACCCAGTGAAGCTTGTCACGTGGCTTCTTTGAAGTGTGACGATACCTTTGACCAGCACGTCGGCAGAACGTACTGCACCTGCGCGAAACCCGTAATGTATTGTACATAGCATTACGGCAGAATGTCTCATATAAGGTCGTATTCGCTTATATAAGGTTAGCATTTCGACAGTAGTTTCCAAATGTTATGTCGGAAAGAATATCCTCTGCAACAGGCAAAATTCTGATGCAACGTTGACCAAAAACCCAACGAAAAACGCGAAAATACGGGGTGCTGCGCAGGCGCAGTACGTTCTGCCAACGTGCTCCTTTGACCCAGTGTTGACGTCACACTTCAAAGAAGCCATGTGACAAGTCTCACTGGGTCAGTCTACAGAGGAAGAAACTCGTGTTGGAACAAAAGTTTTAACTTTAAACAATTAAGTTTTAACCTAGTTTAACAACGTAAACTCCTACCTGTTCGGAGGTCCCACATCTTGAGTGACCTGTCGTGGCCCCCGGTCAGCAGGCATTTGTCGTCGTGACTAAACGACAGACACACGATCCCTTTGAAGACGGGAGACTTGGCGTACAGTTCGTGCACTAGTCTGCCCGTGCCTAACTCCCACACCCGCATGGTCTCTCCCGCCGACCCTGATGCCAACAGCTTCTGGTCATGGCTGACACTCAGACACGTCAGCGGGCTCTGATGGCCCACTAGAACGTGGAGAACTTTGTCCTGATTGAGGACAAGGATTTCTTTCTTATCCGTGCCGACTGCGGTGTATTTCCGATCATCTGTCATGGTGACGCAGGTGATTCTCCCCTCACAGTTGGGTTTGTGGGTCCAGAGAAGCGTCACGGAGTCAATGTCCCAGGATGACACGGAGTTGTTGTCTGTGGCTGCAACCAGGTACCTTTATGACAGAAAATAAATATTCATGGTTGCTGATGGTAATGCTAGGATGTGAAGTTTATTATTTATTAATTAACGTATTTTCTTTTTTTTTTGGTATTTGACATTTTTTTTAAACAAGGCTGCAAAATACATTTTACCTCAATTGTATAATGGGGTCGTGTGGCTTAACGGCAGAATGTTCGGCTCAGAACAAAGTTCCCGGACTCGAATCTTGTCATTTCTGTATCGGTATAACCGCCCTTCGGCGTAACACACCAGCTTCGCAGGCACGCGGCGCGGCGGCAACTAGCAATATCACTCCGAACGGCTTGTTACACTCAATCTTTGCACATTTGATTGCAGGAGTTGTTTAAAGCTTTCTAGTGATGATGTCTCAAGTGTGCTTGGTGGCAACAAGTTCCAGTCTACGATAGTTCTGGGGAAATAGGAGTTTTATAATACCTCAATTCTTGGTTGATAACTCTGATATTTGAAGGCATGACTGTTTCTTGTTTTTTTCTGGCCTGGTGTCAGATACTTAGTGGTTGGTACATCCACCAGTTTATTAGTCATTTTGTACATTTCACCATCCTTGTGCCCTTGGGAAAGGCATCTTGATCGTGGGCATTAAAAGAAAAACCAAACCTCTACATACGCGAAGCCGCATTGCACTATACTAGTAGCTTTTTTGGCGAAGGTAATAATAAGGATCATGCTTCGCCAGTATGGAATGGATGAAAAAAAGAATGTAAACAACGTAGTGAAAGTAATTCTGACAGCTGCACACCTGTCGCCACGTGTGATCCAGAAGCACCTGATGCCACCTGTAGCCTGGTCCAGCTGCCGTATAAACTGGCCCGTGTTCAGGTTCCACAGCTTGATGAAACCCGCCTCGTCTCCAGTCACCACACAGTTGTTGTCGTGAGTGATCCTCAGGTATGTTACGGAGCCTATAGCAGGACAGATAGAGATTCACAAGTATTGACTTGCTTTTAGCCTATGAAACCCAAGCTCCGGGGGGGGGGGGGGCTCCCTATATAGTCCGCCACCCAAGGGGGCCGGCTGGATGTTGGGCGGCCGGCAAAAGCGATTTAATCAGGCTAACTTGCTTTGAGTTTTTTTTTTATTTCAACATATTTCATGACAAGACATGGTGACGTCACTCTCTCTCAAGTTATTTCAACTTATTCTCTGCCGCCACCAACGCATAAGTTAAGCAGTTAAGTGAGGAAAGTCGTGTATAAGTGCCTTTCCCAAGGGCATATATAAGATCAGTGGCATGTCAGGACTTGAGCCCGGGATTTCTGGTTCCGAGTCGAGCCGTTACGCCACACGACCCCATTCACGAGTTTCCCATCCCCAGAATGCAATGCGAAAATAGGGGGGTAATCCTCATTTGCATAGGACTGGAAGGCATCGGAATGATCCTGTTGACGCTAAACAGCTTTCTATTTGTTGTCAGATTCGGCCCATAGTAATTTAATTAATGTTGAGCATAAAATGCCCCGACACCTCAAAACACAGTGAAAAGCAAGCTGTTTAACGTCAACAGGATCATTCCGATGCCTTCCTGTCCTATACAAATGAGGGTTACCCCCTATTTTCGCGTTGCATTCTGGGGATGGGAAACTCGTGAATTGCTTTGAGTTGCTGACACAAAATCGAAAAAATATAGACACACTAAAGAATGTTTAAAGAAATCCCATCAAGATTGATAAACAAAATGAATACTCGCCGTCCTTGTCAGTGATAGTTCGGACGTCTTTGCCGTCTTTTGAGCTCCACACATTCACCTCGTTCTCGCTGCCCTCCCGTTTGTACACCACGTACCCTGCATCACTCGTCACTCCCACAATGCCATGCTTGTCGATGAACCTGGGAGTGGACATCTTCATCTTGCTCTTTTCGACGTCCCAAACCTTTTTTTATTCAGAAAAATAGGAATAAATACAAATGAAAGGACACGGATACATGTTAAGCCTCGGTCACAACCCGCCGTACGTGCTTTTTGTCCGTACGTTTTTTGGGAGGCTAGTGCTACGTCTGCTACGTTTTTTCTGAAAACGTGAACATGGGGAAGGAGTGGCATCGACGCACGTCACTCGCACGGTTGCGCAAGGTGTAAGAGTGTGGTCTGCACGCCGTGAGCGGTTGCGTGCATCGTTCGTTGCGCAAGCTGTACGTGTTTACAACGTACGATCTCTGTGCGATTGCGAGGCCGTACTCACACGTGCGACTTTCGTACGGTACGTACGGGGCACGCGCGTCGCCCGTACTCGCACGCATGGGTGGTGAATCCGTAGCTAGACCGCACGCAGAAAAAGTTTTACGGCGAGTCTGCGTGCTCCCAAATCCGTAGGATTCTGTACGGAGGCGGTAACACGGCAGGGAACCTTAATCCGACACTTTTATGCACAGGCAAGATTGAATGATGAATCCACAACCAGACATTCGGTATTTTCGTTAATCATTTAGTGCATCTTGTAGCCTGTTTTTAACGCCATACCTACGTGTGTGTCACTCTCTCAACCATTTAGATATCGCGGGAAAATTGCGTCTTCAACATCGCTCCCGATTTCACCGTGCCCTGCGTATTCTGTTCTAAGCGAAACCTTAATCCGACGCCATGCAACAGTGTAGCAATAAACTTCAATTCACCAGTTTCCCATCCCCAGAATGCAATGCGAAAATAGGGGGTAACCCTCATTTGCATAGGACTGGAAGGCATCGGAATGATCCTGTTGACGTTAAACAGTTTGGTTTTCACCGTGTTTTAGGTGTTGGGCCATTTTATGCTGAACATTAATTAAATTACTATCGGCCGAATCTGACCACAAATGGAGAATGAAGTTTCAGTGTTCTTTTCAACATAGAACATGTGGTTTGTAACGTTACAGCATCAGTATAGCGTTACCACTATAACGTTACAAACCACATATTCAAAAAAAATCATTCTCTATTTGTTTTCAGATTCAACCCATAGCAATTTAATTAATGTTGAGCATAAAATGCCCGAACACCTCAAAACACAGTGAAAAGCAAGCTGTTTAACGTCAACAGGATCATGTCGATGCCTTCCAGTCCTATGCAAATGAGGGTTACCCCCCCCCCCCTATTTTCGCATTGCATTCTGGGGATTGGAAACTAGTGAATACATCCAGACCTTTGTGTAGTAGGAGTCCGTGGACGCCGTCACCACGATGTACCCCGTCACCTCCATGGCGGTGATTTTCGCCGCCTGTCCGTCCAACGTCTGGACAAGCTGACCACTCCCGAAGTCCCAGACGTTCAGGTGTTCGTCCCGAGCTCCGGACACGATGGCCTTCAAGATTCAAGGTCGTTACTGAACTTTCGCAGTGGACAACTTTTGCCGGCACTAAACTGTAGTCAATTTACAGTTTTTTTTTTCACACCGACATATTATATTGCACATAATTTTGATTAGTTCAGTTGACAAAACTGGAAATTATTACAAAGAAATATAGTACTGCTCGTAAAACTACAATTGTTCATTTGAAAACACTTGATAAAATATGCACACACAATATTGAGGGCCTGCAAGGGTAGTGATTATGAAGTGGTAGTGATTATGAATTACGCAAAATTTTCGCCGCCTATTACGAATTACGTTAAAGTCTCAGGGCTGATTACGACTTTACGATTTGCGGCTAATGTACTATTACGAATTACGTTGATTTTTGCGGAGGCTGCCTACGAATTACGAAGCCTAAAACGGCCTGATTACGCATTACGAAAAAGGTCTTGCAGGCCTTCAATATTCAAAGTTATTCAGACCATCATGGTGTAAAATAGATAATTCTGTACCTTGTTGTCGCTGGTGACGGCAACACAGTCCACGATGCCGTAGTGCCCCTGCATGTGGCGGATCTCTCTTCCCTCAGACAAGTCCCACAGTTTCACCACCCTGTCCGACCCGGATACCGCATATTTCCCGTCTGACGTGATGGCCAGAGAGTACACCGGGTGGGAGTGCCCTTCCAACCTGTGAACTACCTCCCCGCTCCCCATGTCAAAGACAGAAAGTGTGGTGTCCTTTGACCCGGAAACAATCCTGCCGTTGTGGGTGACCTTGAGGCAGGTCAGGTGACCTGTGTGAGGGGAGAAGGTGTTTCTCAGCTCGCCTGTCTCTGTGCTCCACATCTTGATGCCGTTGTCTTCTGCTCCGGTGATGATGTACCGGTTGTCGTGGGAAACTGCCAGGCAGGAAACAGCGCCCTCATGCCCCTTCAAGGTGAACTGCAGCTTCCCAGACTCTATGCCCCAGACATTAACCTGAAATCCAAAGTAAGAGTCAATAAGATGTAATCAATTTCAAACCCTTGCTCCATGTTTAAATACCACATGCAACTATAAAGACGCAAAAGGAAAACTAATACTGAATAGCAAGTTATTTTTATCACAACCATTTATTTTTTACTAGCCGACGTTTCGATGACCGTCTGTCATCTTCATCAGGGCAATTCTGACTGGTTTACTGTGCACTGACACTAGATGTTACTGACACTAGTGCACAGTAAACCAGTCAGAATTGCCCTAATGAAGATGACAGACGGTCATCGAAACGTCGGCTATTGAAAAATAAATGGTTGTGATGAAAAGAACTTTGCTATTCAGTCGTTTACCAACCTGATGAAATTATTAACGAAAAACTAATACTGCAATGGTAGTATGGTAATCTTCAAGCAGATTCTCGGGGCCATGGAAGTCTATTGGCCTCCTGTAACCAGTTAACCCCCCCCCCCCCTGCCCCAGAGAATATAGTTGAAGATCAGCAGCACGGCTCTACCCAACTCACCTCGTTGCAAGCAGGTGACAACACGAAGCTAATACTGTAAAGGCAATATGGTAATCTCCATGCAGATTCTCGGAGGCAATGTGAATCTATTGGCTGCCTAGTAACAAGTTAGCCCCGCGAATCTGCTTGGAGATCAGTAGTACGGCTTTCCCCCACTCTGCTGGGTTTGCCATCAGCTGACACCACGAAACGAATACAGTAATGGCAGTATGGTAATCTACAAGCAGATTCTCAGAGGCAAGTAGAGCCACCTGTAACCAGTTTGTCCCCCTTGCCTCCGACAATCTTCTTGATATATATTAGCACGGCTTTCTCCCACTCACTTTAATTCAAGGATCCTATATAATGTCCTTGGTCAATCATCAACAGTAAAACTAGTACTCCAATGCCACAGTAAGACTTTCTCCCACTCACCACATTGCCAGCCGGTGACACGACTCTGCGGGAGTCCCTGGTGGTGGTCAGCAGGGCGCGGTGCCGGTAGTGGGCGTGGTCTTCCTCCATGGTGATGACCAGCCGGCCCGTCTCCAGGTTCCACACCTTCAGGGTGTTGTCCAGCGAGCCGGACACCAGTAGCTCATTGTTGGGGGCAGCACACACCACCTCAATCGCAGCTGTATACAAAAACACGTCATTTGGTTTCGCGAGAAACTTTCTGCTAGTATACAGTGTACACCATCTCTTAGGTGTCACCAATATGAATACTTACATATACATTATACCAGAATATTAATAAGGCATAGCGTAACGTTTATCGATAGATAGCAGTACAAAGCTTTCGATGTTTTTATGTCATGTTACCCCCACTCTCGATAATGCTGGGCCGGGCTGCTTTTGGGAACGAAAACTACGATACAGAAGACAACAAAATATCGAAAAGTTATTAAGAACAATCATTTATTTCTATTTCTCTATATTCTTGATAAGAAAAGTTAATTGTTCGTTCGTATAAACAACCCGGCCGGGCCCCGGTTTGGAAATGTTACCTAAGCATAAGTGGTAAGTTTTTACATGCGGAGTGTGGTCCTTGTTACATGCGGAGGTACCAGAGTGACGCCCGAGTCTTACACTTGAATCTTCCTCACACACAAATTGTATAGAACGTTCATGGGGCCTTGTGGAGCGACCTGCCTGTGTGTCCCGTGAGAGTTCTCTCCAGTTCCATGACCTACCCGTGTGTCCCGTGAGTGTTCTCTCCAGTTCCATGACCTACCTGTGTGTCCCGTGAGTGCTCTCTCCAGTTCCATGACCTACCCGTGTGTCCCGTGAGTGTTCTCTCCAGTTCCATAACCTACCTGTGTGTCCCGTGAGTGTTCTCTCCAGTTCCATGACCTACCTGTGTGTCCCGTGAGTGTTCTCCCCAGTTCCATGACCTACCTGTGTGTCCCGTGAGTGTTCTCTCCAGTTCCATGACCTACCCGTGTGTCCCGTGAGTGCTCTCTCCAGTTCCATGACCTACCCGTGTGTCCCGTGAGTGTTCTCTCCAGTTCCATGACCTACCTGTGTGTCCCGTGAGTGTTCTCCCCAGTTCCATGACCTACCTGTGTGTCCCGTGAGTGTTCTCTCCTGCTCCATGACGTCCGACTCGTTCTCGTAGATGCGGATGGTGCAGTCTCGCGCTGCCGTCACCATGTAGCCTCCGTCTGGAGTCATGGCGATGGAGGTGATGCCGGCTCTATGATGGGCCAGGGTCGTCCGCAGGGGACCGCCTGGTGGTGGGAGGTAAGGTAGAGTCAATACAGCGATCGGTTGCTAGGGTATTCTTTCTCGTTGCTAGACGCGTTCCACAAAGCATCGGGTTTAAGGCGCCCATCAAGGGCCTGAAAACCCGGGTTTACTGTAAATGACCGCGAGTGACCCCAAATCGAACGGTGTTCGGTTCGAATTACGTCAGATCGAACATGATTCGGGTTCTAAAGCAGATGGGGACATTGCGGCCCAAATTTGACCACCGTATTTAGGATACAGCAACCTGGCTCTTTGTTTTATCCAATAACAAGCTATAAGATATATTTATCAGATATTTGTAATGTTTCTTGCAAAATCATAACCGAAGAGTTCAAAATTCAGTATGAAACCATGAAGTTAAAAGGATTTTTATTGTTACCTACGAAAAATATCAAACCTACCTGGTGGATAGATGCACGTGTTGTGAGGCAACAAAAATGGACGTCGCGTCACGTGGTCGCAAAACGTCTTACACCACGCCCGCGACTGCTCCAGAAGGCTGTCTATGATTGGTAGAGATTGATGTTCGAACGGCACAAGCCGTCCAATCAGCTCTAAGGCCAAATAGCTGGGTACTCCACCTGTTGGGGTCAAAGTGCATTGAAGTTTATGGCAAAGTGAAAACAAGTGAAAACAGCTCTTTACTGACTATTACTTCTAAAACAAACCAGCATTGCCAGTCGAATAGAACACTTTAGCATCTGTAAAGCCCCTAAATTAATATCACAACGATGAAAAATGTCACATAAAAACCTTTGAACTCCAAAGTAGGCTTGATGAGCCTTAGTGCGTCCCTGAGAAGCCTGATTCCCAGGTTATTGTACACCTGCAGCACCATGTTGTAATCTTCTACCAGACTCTTGACACCAAACGCCTCGATTTTGACGTTCATGAAATCCAGATTACCTAGAAGAGAACAGAACGTTAATAATTTGAAATACATATACAGGGGATCCATATACATTGAAAGACAAAGATAAACTGGAAAGGGTACAGAACCAAGCTGCAAGATTCTGCACGACCAACTATTAAAGGGGTGCTAGTGTAACGGAAATGAAAAGAAACCCACAGTGGGGGTCGCTGGAAGACAGACGTAGAATGTCCGGACTGTGAAGGATGTACAAAATGACTAATAAACTGGTGGACGTACCAACCACTAAGTGTCTAATACCAGCCCAGAAAAGAACAAGAAACAGTCATGACTCATGCCTTCAAATATCAAATATGTCGAGTTATCAACCAATAATTGAGGTATTAAAAAACTCGTATTTCCCCAGAACTATCGTAGACTGGAACTCGTTGCCACCAAGCACAGTTGGGGCATCATCACTAGAAAGCATTAAACAACTCCTGCAATCAAATGTGCAAAGATTGAGTGTAACAAGCCGTTCGGTGTGATATAGCTAGCTGCCGCCTCGCCGCGTGCCTGCGAAGCTGGTGTGTTACGCTGAAAGGCGGTTATACCGGCTATATATATATACAGATACAGATACATATGTGCAGAGCAGACGACAAAACTGCTTTTATTATTATAGCTACTAAGTCTTTTATGGCTTTATGGCATGAATGTGTAGTTGCGTATGAATTTACAATTTGTTTTCAATGTATATATGTGTGCATGTATTTTATGGATGTATAGCTATAACGTATAGTCTCCAAGCCTTTTACACTTGAATGAAGTCTTATCAATCTAAACCCAATTCGGTTATAATAAGTTGTTTATTGCAAATTCGTGCCCGAGGGCTAATTGCAAACAGACATTGACAAAAACAATGAATACAGAATGTGGTGAATTTAAGACTATAATTATGCTAACATGGAGTTCTACTTTTACGGTCTGCTTATTTAACTCACTACATCTACTTTGAAACTAACATGACGTTGGTATACATGGTAGAAAGTGGATATGCTTCACATAAATAGGAGAAATGGTAACTGCTATTCTACTAGTATGCTATTCTAGCCAAGTTGTTAGGAGGTTTGACTTCCAAAACTTGGATGTTTTACCAGTGTCAAAACCAGAGTTTAACTCTCTACGACATAAGGCGATGATAGTTGTGTGGGAGTAAACCTCTTACCCAGAGTGTGTTCGAAGATATCGTCCATCCTGCCTGCACGGAGGAGGTGAAAGGTCACCTCGTTCAGTTTGCGGCGGTTGAAGACGTTGTTGTCGTACTTGTCGGGCTGCGGGACGACGTTCCGGTCGGCGTTGTAGTACTCCCGCTTCCCGTTCACGTCCATGGTGATCTCCTTCCTGCGACCGCTGCTCCAGGTGCCGAGGTAGAAGTCGGCCAGGATGTGGTGACGGGCTCGGCTGTTGTCTCCAGCCAGGTACCGCTCCTGGGCACACTCTATGAACTGCCTGTTGCAAAGGCACGTAAGAACTGAAATTGCTAATCACCAAGCAGATTCCGCGAGGGCAAGGCTATAAATACTGGCTAAATTTGCAAAGGAGTTACCTCAACCTTCGGTGACTAACAGTCTCTTCTTTGGCCAATGGTTACAGCCTTGCCATTGTAGGATCTACTTGGAGATAAGCCATTGCCGTTGATGTTCTTCATTGCTGTCGTTAAAATAATATTTCATTCTCTGTATGAAAATGAAACAACTAGAAAATCTATTTTCTTAGAACAAAGTAACTTAGATCGCCAGCCAACATTTAAAAATACTCCCCCTCCCTTTGCTAGAGGGAAAGTTTCCAGGCAATGTTGCCTCTTTACCGTAGTCAGCGACTGACTGGATGATGGCATTCGGTCACCGCTCTTTTCGTGAGAAGATGCCACAAGTACAGTACCTGTGAAACAACTGCAGGACTCTCTTCCCGTCCGCCTGTCTCTCGGCGAGGTACTCCAGGATGTCGTACTTGAGGCGGGTGACGATGAGGGGAGGGATGCGCACCACGTCCTTGTTGGGAGGAGACCAGTACTGGTACACGTCGTCTAACACTTCGTCATCAAGGGAGAGGACATCCTCAAGCTCATGTTCAGATATCCCCTTCCTGATATTGGTAAACAGATACGATATAGACCGCTGTAAGTTGAAAGCTACAACTAAAACACTCGAGTGGGGGAAACAACAGCAAAACGAAAGAGGTCTGGCACCATTCCTGTTATTGGTAGACGCAGATAATGATGTACCGAAGATCATTGGTCATCCTCGACAACGAGGGACGAACAAGAATGATTAGAAAGCTACATGAACATGAACATGACACATGAAAGGGGGAAACAACAGCAAAACGAAAGAGGTCTAGCATCATTCGTTACCTAGCAGCAGCGATGTGCCCCAGTGAAGGAAGAGACTGGGGAATTTAAAAAGCAAAAAAGAACAAGCAGAGAAAACATGTCAGCAGAGAAAGACTTCACAATCATATAGAACGTTGGCACTTTTTCTTACCTGGCAGCAGCGATGTACCCCAGTGTGTGGGACACAAAGACGGTTCCATGCTGAACCTCCAGCCTCTCATACAGCAGATTGATGGCCGCCCTTGCTGACTGGGCGATCCGCAGTTCTGATTCTGGAGTGTAAGACTTCCACCTTCGAGCCTCGTCAAACGCCAGTTTGAGAAACAGCGGCTGCCGACAGTGTGAGAAAGCAGACAGGATGACTTCCCTCTGTTTGTCTGTAAGGCACCGCTGGATCCGAGCGAGCCACGTATCCAGAATCTCGCTCCCCACCTGTTCCGACAGGGTGGGCACCTGGATGTAGCTTCTGTCGCTGCGTACGGTGCGCTTCAGAGTCTTCAGCAGATCAAACTCCTCGGGCAGGGTGGAGACCACGATGTGGACGTTTGGTGGGAGTGATTTGGGCAGCCACGTCAGGCTGTAGGCTCGGTCCACGGACGACAACTGGTCCAGGGAGTCCAAAAGGATGAGAAGTGGCCGGTCCTTCTGCGACACCTTGTCCAGAAGCGTGGACAGATATTGGACGATGTCGGCGAAGTTGTCGAGAACCCTTTCCGCGGGTGACTCGATGCCGTAGACCTCACATATCTGTAGACAGAGGCTCTGTAGAACAGGGTGGATCAGGGTGCTGTGTGGCGACGTGCCCAGGAAACGGATAATCGTCACCAGGTTTTCTCCGAACCTCTGGGCGGCGTTCTGTGCGAGCATGGCCATGATGGACGACTTGCCGCTGCCGGAGGCTCCGTGGATCACGAACGGCTGATGGTTAACCTTGGCCGTGTCCTTCATGTACGTGTACACGGCGTCAAAGATCTCCTGTCTTCCACAGAAACTCTCACACTTCGCCTGGCAGAAACGTGCGTGCGAGATCACTTCTGTCAGAAACCAGTCATCGTTCTGTTCTTGTTCACTCTCGCTCTGCAGGCTCTTAAAAATCATCGATTTCAAATCTGCCACAAAATCGTCGCTGAACTGTTCCAGGTACGAGGCGTGACTTTCCACGTCTTCGTTAACCCCCTTGTCGGTCCACTCTACCTCGTACTGGTGAACGTTCTTTAGTTTGGACGGCAGTTTCCCCTTCAGGTCCTCCAGCAGGCTCTGGGACTCTTCGTTCAGCTTCTCCCTGTCCATCAGGTCCAGGTAGGCGCTGACCGCGTCTGCTCCCACGTGCTTCTCGATGTTCTGCAGGTTCCGCATGAAGATCACCGCTCGCTGGTTGGCGTTGGTCGACTCAAATATGCCTCTCTTAATTTCAATTTCCGTTACTAGGAAAAAAGACACAAACGAAGGCAAGTGATGGGTCGTCGCACACAATGGACGGTGTATTTATGATTTGTACATTGAAGGTTTCCTATCTGTATCTGTATCAGTATAGCCGGTATAACCACCCTTCGCAGTAACACACCAGCTTTGCACGCGGCGCGACAGCAGCTAGCTATATCACACGGAACGACTTGTTACTCAATCTTTGCTTTGTTTAAAGCTTTCTATTGATGATGCCCCAACTGTGCAACGAGTTCCAGTCTACGATAGTTCTTGAGAAATACGAAGAATTTGTTTTTATTTTACTGGTTGACTATTGGATAATTGCATGTATGAGAAACGTTTTGTTACCTGATTTGATGTACTTGTGTTGCTGCTCCTCAGTAACTTGTCCTTCCTTGTGAGCTGCCCTCACAGCTGTGCGGAGAATGTTCTCCAACTGAGTTATCACCTGATACCAACCCTGCTTGTCTTTCTGTCGTAGGCTCTGATTGGCTGGCTCCATGTCCGTGTAATGTTTAAACTTGCTGGTGATTGGCTGTAGTAAACAGACTGCGGGGACAGCGTTGTCGTCCTTGAGGTACCATTCCGTGATGACGGCGGTGTCCATCTCTAGTTGACCGGCCTTCTGCAGGAGAATGTCCAGTTCTTCTGCCTCTATCTTTGCAGGAATAGGTCGGTAGCCGTACCTGTTACCAAGGAATGCCTGGAGAGGGGACAGTACCAATTTATGGCTGCTTTTCATTTAGAATTTTCCATATCAAAATATAAAGGGATACAAAGATAAGAGAACCTACTTGGGCCTATTAATACATTCCGTGAACTGTACAAGGGACCACATCTGCATAAGGACTACCTGGCCAATGTGACCACCTGTCCACATAGATCAGATTTGAACGGTCCTCTGAGTGGTCGTTTGGGTAGTTTTGACTGTACATGTTATTTGAGATGATTTTTTTTTATTGTCCAAACAGTACCGTCGCAGCCTTTATACGGCTGAATTGATGCAGGGTATCACATAATAATCAATACAAATCACAACAATTACAACAATCAAATAATACAAATGAAACACTTATCATATATGTCGCAAGGGTCTTTGCGGCTGCCATTCGGCGCCACAAGGTGACCTCAATACGACTTTCCCCAACCGAAGTTAAGTACCCATTCACACCTGGGTGGAGTGAGGAAATTCGTGTAGACTGCCTTGCAAGGGCACAACGTCGGGGCGCATGTTTAGACATGTCCCGGGTACGACTCGGGATCGAACCGGAGTCTCCCGGTTCACAGTCGATTGCTCTAACCACTACACCACCCGACGCCCGACGAGATCCAATTCCTGCAATTTTTTTAGCATCTTAGCCAGACTAGATGCAACTGAACCCTCACCACAAAGTTTGGTCCGACCGACAGCCTCTTGCAGGTGTCAATCTCCATCAGGCACAGGGCGCAGGTCATGTGATCGGCCACGACCTCGTCCCGCACGCCCCAGCGCATGTCCATGACCTGGAAGTCCAGCCCCTGCTTCTGACAGAACTCCCGCAGCTCAGGGTACGCCTTCTGCAGCAGGATGTTCCGCTCCTTCGCCATGTCTGTGGGAAAGGTATAAACATGCCTTACATAAGAAAGTTTATTGCAAACACGTGCCCGAGGGCTAATTGCAGTTACAAACAATATAAGAAAGAAAATACAATGGTATGTGAGACTATCATCTACTTCTAGCATTATACTATATTCTACAACATACGTGGTACTTGTTTTACTGGGTTTGACTTCTTCTTTTTAGACAATGGAAGACGAATTTACCCACTTCTTCTATAATATGTGGGTTCTTTGATTTTAGTAGTAATTTTTTTTTTTTGTGGTAGGGAACGGTGGGGACGTAAGGGAGCATTTTGGACACATTTTGGTGCTAAATAATTGTTTTCTGATGTCGTCATAAAGTGGACAGTTAGAGATGAAATGAATTTCGTCTTCCACTGCATTTGAGGAGCAATATTTACAAATTCTCTCCGACACAGGTACTTTCATATATCGCACTTTTTCAATTTCCAAGGGGTGGGCACTGATTTTAGTTACATGTATGGACAAGCTTCTCTTTATTTCATCATAGAACTTGTATTGTTAGACACACATTCAGACAATGTACATGTAAGAGACTGTTGTAGTGAAACAAAACAAGCCATGGGGTACGCCTTCTAGATTTGCAGCAGGATGTTCCGCTCCTTCGCCATGTCTATCGTGAGGAGAGGGTAATATACCTCAGTCAATCCGGTGCCCAGCCGGGTACTAGCATGCTACCAGTTTACGTCATAATGATTTGATTGCCGCAGTATGTTTGTGATCGTGACAGGCAAACAATGTACGTCAACATAGCTCAAATTCGTCATATGAAATCCCTGTATATGTACGGTGCAACTAATAGTTTCTATGTCGAATGAAAATTATATACAATGCAAGTAATAAGAATATTAAACAAGAATTCTGAGATTTCATACCTCCTTGAAATATGTAGAGTATATATAGAGAATATGTAAATGTTTTGTTTCATTGAATATGGAAATAAGGTGGCAATTAATATAATATAGTTTAATTTATGGTGTTCTAAACTCAACTTACAATATTTTCCATGTCAAACTCCTATCCTTTGGCAATATTTCACTTAAACATCCTCATTTAAACTTCCTCATTAATTATGCAAATTGCCTCTATATTAACATAATATATGCATAGTGCTGTTAACATTTAAGTAACCTGCATATGTCACAAGGTACAGAATTGCCATCATTCCCCATTAAGAAATCATATAATTTTCGCAATAAGGCCATGTTGATTTGATTATATGGATGACATCCTCCGGGAGCCCCAAAACTGATGCGCGCGTACGAATAAAATAAAAGTTTTGCAAAAAAAAAAGTTCTTTTCATTATGAAATCTACGTGGTCATGAGGGTTGAGCAAATGACACAGAATATGGTTTGGCGAATAATCTAGTCTTCAAGTTCATTTCTTTACAATTTCGTCTATTTTCGTTTGATTTTGGCATTCTACGACATTGGTATAGTTTTTATCAATTTTTTTAAACTTATGGTATATTTTTGCTCATTTTGCAACTGTTTTGTACGATTTACAGTATGGTTGAAAACTTTTTTTGGGGGGAAACGGCCGAAAATTCATGCGCGCTCGGATGTCATCCATATAATCAAATCAACATGGCCTAATTATGCAAATTAGGTCATCATTTGCATAATTGGTATCTGTTGACGTTCTATCTGCCGGCATAGATTACATATATTACATGTATGAAAGTACTATAATGTAATTATAGAATTTCCTAATTAATTATGCAAATTAGGTCCTCATTTGCATAATTTGAATTAATCGTGTACATCTCTCTCTCAACTACCTACTTACCAAAAATAATGAAAATATGTTGTTCCTATCTGGACTTATTGCATTTTGAAGATTTCGCCCGAAAGTCCCCTGCAGTTCCAGAACAAGCTGCTAGGGGGACCAAACCCACACCACTTATTTCTGACAGGAAAAGCTATCTGTCACCAAAAAGTCAAGACCATAGCATGTTCAGGACAAAAGATACAAAAACCGGAAGGTCTGCTGCAGTACCAAGGTCATCCACCAGGAGGCCCATATTTGACCTTGACCTTCGTCTTCCTAAGACTTACCAACATACCAAATATCATCACAATCCATAAAGGCGTTCTGAAGTTATGATGACCACAAAGTTGCGGAAACACACACAGACAGACACACACACAGACAGACACACAGACAGACACACAGACAGATACATAGACAGACACGCCAAAAACAATACCTCCATTTTTCATTGAGGTAATAATACAAATTTCAGGAGCTAATTTCTGATCCTGAATCCCAAAGAGAACGCTGGGCTGAGCATTTCTCTGAGTTGCTGAACCCTCCACAAGACAGTGTTGACCTAACAGTACTAGACAGTTTACCAGGTATACCTTGCTTTCAATATCTTGGGGAGGAGGATGGCCCGCCGACAGTTGAGGAAATTCAGAACGCCTTGAAAAGACTGAAGAACCACAAGACTCCAGGCGTGGACGGTGTATTCAATGAGCAACTGAAATATGGTGCACCTGGCTTGACGAAAACCCTGGAAACTCTCTTCGCCAAGATTTGGCATGGCGAGGCTATCCCCGAGGATTGGTCCAAAGGCATAATTGTTGTATT